CTAAACAAAACTGTTGAACTATTTATATTTCACACAGTATCTGAATGTTTTTACTTCATTTTACATACCTTTAAAATACCTGTGCACAAAAAGTTGAAACCCAGTAAAATCCTTTTTTAAAAAAAAATTTGAAGGAGTGTTAAGGTCCTTAAAACTTCTTATTTGATCTTCCCATGATTTTACAGTTGTAAGTGTAATAAGGCTTTAATTATACTTCTGGTTTGTCGTTACTGTATGGTAGAAGAGAATGTAGTACATTTTTCCTGTGTTTCCTTGGTTAAATATACACTTGGCACTGGAGTCACTGACAGATACGCTTCATGTAGATGCTGTATTTTGGAAAAGAATACTTCTGTAACTTCAAAGATGCAGTATATTTTTTTTAAAAAAATGAAGATCTGCCAGGAATGCATTGTTCATGCTGTTTATACAACATCTTAAAACCTGTTAGCACAGTAAAAAGTTAATTTCTTGAAACTTTAGATTGTTGCTGTCCTATATTTGGGATCTAGGAATGTAGAAATAGTACACAAATCAAAAAATGAATAGGCAGTAAATTATTATTTGGGTAGTTTATTTAGGTTTATAAATATTATTGTCTACAGTCCACACTAATATTAATTCATTGTATTACATTATGCTGCTAAATTTAAGCTGCTGGCTCCAGAGAGGGAACAAGTTGGGATGGGAGAAAAATTGTTTGTAAGTTAACTCTCACTTTTTTTACAAGATTTATGCATTAGTGTGCAGTCTTCAAGCGCTATCTTCTGGTCGGGTGAAAGCAAAATCAGCTTTGCTAATGTAGTCCAGATGTTTATTAGTCCTGAGGGTATATGTGCTGTTGTAGTTCCCTGCTGCTGTGTTATACTTGCTTGTAATGCTAGACAACCAATTAAGAAATTAGTTCATGTTAAACTTTCTTTTCCTGGTACGGCTGCAAACTGATGATGTGGTTTTTCTGGTGGAACAAGAGAGTATTCTTTACATGTTTTCTGTTACTAGTGAATATATAAACCATTTGGGTGGTGTGGGGTTAGTGCATCAGCAGCAATACAGAATTTTCAGGTTTTGAGCTACCTCAGGCAAATGGTTTTAATTGAACTAATTCACATTAAGATGTTTTGGTAAGTGTGTCTGTTTTTCTTAATTCCGAGGTTTAATTGGCACTGTCATTTTTAGAAACCATCTGTTTACAAGTAATTCCTCATATTAACGAGGTGTTTGAAGGGTGAGAGCCTAAATTCTATGCAAAGACATCAAAGAGGGAAGTTTGGTGTATCGTGGCTTTTTCTAATTGTAGTTTTTGTGAAGATAGCATTTCCGCACTTTTGGTTTTTTGTTAGTGGGTTTTTTTGTTCTGTTTCTGGTTTGGTTTTTTTTAGTATATGTTTTAGCTAGCAATGCCTCTGACAATTCTGATTTGTCTTTGGTGTACATTTTTTTTTTTTCCACCCAAATAAAATGCAGATATGTAGAATCACAGAGTCAAGTTCTAATGGAAGCCCAATAACTATGTGAAGCGCTTAAAATTTCTCAGGGTCTTCTATACGATTTTCTTTTTATTCTGTTCTGGGTAAAATCTCTGTAAGAGATAGAATGCATGCTTTTTTTAATCTGGAGAGGAGGAAATTTTTTTGGTTTTACTTCATTCTGCAGGCTTGCTGGAATGTTTTCATAGAAATTAATGTTGTAAACTTGTAATAAGTAAGATATGTTGATAGAAGTTAGGTGTTTAAATTGTAGATGCAGAAGATGTGTGACCTTACAGAGATCTCTGTTACATGGGCAGCTGCACAGTGTGTGTCCATAATTAACTATTTGCACTAGCAACATACATACCTACTTAAAAAGCTGCTGATAGCTTTAGTTTTTTTCCTTATTATTCTGTATTTTTCGTTCATTCAGAAGGAAAAGTCTTTTCCCAAATTGCTGTTCACACTCATTGTAGAACTTCTCCATGGTGACGGTGGCTAATGTACTTAAATCACTGTAGCAGAGTCCATATTGCTGAAAACTCATCAATTAGAAAGTTGTAATAAAGATTAGTTGTTTTTAATAAGTGGTGTAGGATTTAAATAGTCAACAGAATCATAGTACAAGCTAAAGATAGCACAGGTGGGTTCACCGAGACAGTTAATGCAGTGTGTCTATCACAATTGTGAACTACATAGCAAATGGATCTATTTACTTAGGTGTTTTATAATGTGAACAGTAATAAGATGAATGGAGGAACCAACAGTTAGCTCAATGATGGCAATGCCTTGGTGAGGCCACAGTGAAAGGCCACAGGAAATCTCTTTAAAAGCCATTAAGGAATTATGGGAGGAGCAGCTTCTTTCAAAGGGAACCAAAACCCAATACTGGCACCTATTGGAAGTTTGCAATAAGTTTCACAATACTTAATATTGCTCTTTAAGCCCCAGCTGTTGAAGTAAAGTGACTAGGTATATCTTTACTGCCATACTGGTCAGCAGCATAAATTCAGAATAAATATTCTTCAAATCCTATTTACTTTGTGTTACCCTTGAACCTGAGTATTACAATGTTGCAGCTGGTGCTCTTACTGTGTGGCCTTCCTGTTATTTTAAGTGAACATAGGTATTGATGGAAAAATCATGCAATATATACTCAAACACTGAGATTCTCACTACAAAATTCAGCATGAATTATCAGGAGAGGTTTCATCTCGATATAAGAAAGAAATTTTTTTTTACTGTGAGAACAATCAATCACTGGAGCAGCCTCCCTAGGGTCATGGTAGAGTCCCTGTCACTGGTGGTTTTCAAGACTCAACTGGACAGGGTGCTAGATAATCTCACCTAGGCTCCCTTTCCCATGAAAGCTTGGACCAGATGATCTTTTGAGGTCCCTTCCAACCTGGGCTGTTTTATAGTTCTGTGAATTGTGATTAACTTAAGTTTAGCTGTCACAGTTCAGTTGGCGAATGCTAAAACCATTTTTGATGGTTACTTTCAGAAATGTATCTGTATGGTTGTGGTGGGTTGACCCGGCTGGGTGCCAGGTGCCCACCAAAGCCACTCTATTACTCCCCTTCTCAACTGGACAGGGGAGAGAAAAATATAACGAAAAGCTTGTGGATCCAGATACGGACAGGGAGAGATCACTGAGCAATTACTGTCACAGGCAAAAAGAGACTCGACTTGGGGAAATCAGTTTAACTTATTACTAGTCAAATCAGAGTAGAATAATGAGAAATAAAAACTCAATCTTAAAACACCTTCCCCCCATCCCTCCCTTCTTCCCGGACTCAACTTCACTCCTGATTTTTCTCTACCTTCTCCCTGCAGGCAGCGCAGGGGGACAGGGAATGGGGGTTGCGGTCAGTTCATCACACGTTGTCTCTGCTGCTCCTTCCTCCTCAGGGGAGGACTCCTCACACTCTTCCCCTGCTCCAGCGTGGGGTCCCTCCCAC